TAAACTCTTTGATGTGTTATATTGTCACTAACTTAAATTTGACCCCAGTGAGAAAAACTGTTTATTTTTCCATCCTAGGCCTATTATGTTTCTCTCTCTCTCTTTTTCTTTTTTTTTTTCCCCTCTTTTTGTTGAGTATTTATGTCTGTTATAATTATGGTCCCAAGGCAAACTGTAAAATCTAAAAAAAACAATAGCTGAGAGCCCCCCAAATCCTTGTTGGATTTCTCTCTTTTTTTTTCATTTTGTTTTGAAACCTTTTCAGTGTAATTGCTAAAATGCATTAGATGGAGATGGTTGCATGAATGGATTGCAAAAGGAAAAATGATTTCTGAGAAGAAAGGTTGTTCCGTTGCTCAAAAAGGTCTTCTTGTCAATGTATTCCAATTCATCACAGAGTTATCATGTTCTTGTAATTAACACTGCAAACAAATCAACAAGCGATCAGTCAGTGACATCTCTTCAAAACAGTCAGTGTCCAATGAAAACACTTCCATGAAAAAGAATCATTGAGCCAAATAGTTCAGACATTAGTATCATGAATTGCATTAATTTCTATAATTATTTTATATTTATAAATATATTAATTCTATAATTAATTTCTATAAGTAGTTTTTTTTTCTAAATGCCTTGACTTAGCAACTGACAGCACCACAGCCCTGTTCTCTCAGAATTTATGCATTGTGCCAGAGGGTACATGTACATTACAATATGATCATTAAATTTGTTTAAAATGTTGAAAACTGTGTATTTTCTACATAACAGTATAATAATTATCACTAACACCTGTGGAAATTTCTTAACAGTTTTCACAATTCAAAATGAAAGATTAAGGGCAATAGAACAAATAAATCATTACAGTCAGCTACAGAGAGATTCTTTTCAAGCCTTTAAAACCAAAGAGGAAGCTGATGTCACAGCACCAATGATTGGTGACAATGGAAGGACTGCCCCAAACTGAATTTCTAAGCACTGTCCACTGCAGGAGATAATATGTATTATTCATTTATTTATTTACGTGACTGAAGAATAAAAAAAACTTGTCAGGCTCAAAAAGGTCTGAAAACAAGGCAAAAATAAAATAAAAATCATAAAATCACCAAGGTTGGAAAAGACCTCTAAGATCACCCAGTCCATCAGTACAACATCTACAAGTTTCTTGAGCAATTCCAGGAATGGTGACTCAACCACCTCCCTGGGCAGCCCATTCCAGCATCTGATCACTGTTTCAGAATAAACAAACCTTTGCACTCAGTCTATGCTTTCATCCTTTCAGGTACTTTTAAGAAAGTCAAAGAATTAAATTCACAGGAAGCTGACATCACAAAATACTATCTAACTTTCTGAATAGGGAACACATAAAAAAGAGTTGGAATTCACAACTCCTGTCTTAGGAAAGAGCATAATCTACTGTGAAAGATATTAGCAGATAGTGAGAGAAAGAGTATATTTCCTTGAATTTTGGAGAATTGTATCTTAATTTCGCATCATTTGTATTTTGATGTGTTCGTTTTGAATTCATGTCTGTTTTGAATCAGCAAAAATAGAGGCATTTGTTAGATGAAAGAGAAATTGTTCTTTTTTGTTTAAGACCCAACTCTTCTAACTTCCCAGGGTAAGGAATATTTTAGAAAATCTTTTCTTTAGAACACAGCGTCCATTGAAAGACAGCTTCATTAGATAATTTTAAATATATACATATATTTAAAAAAAAACAACACAACAACAGAAAAAGGAATAGATTCCATTTTAAATGGCACAGTCATGTATTTCTTCAGTATGTTCTCTTACATTTCAAGCTACAAGTGGTTCTCACCTTAATTAAAACAAATAAGGCATGGAGAAATAACTTTATCTATTGATCTTTTGTCTTTCTTTCTTAAAGTTCTGGAGGCCTTTGAGGACTTTTTGGTATTTCATTTCAGAATTTCCATTTAAAAGATTATTTTCTGTGTTGTTGGGAGCGGGGTTCACGTTATGATTTGATTAGATAAATTTTAAATAATTTATATCTATCAAGGCCTTTTTATTAAAAGGGAGAAGGTATATGTGACAAAAATTGAATTCCCTAACACTGTGCTGGGCCACCTTCACACACTGTGACTAACTTGAAATTACCTACATTTTTTTTGCTCCCAAAAGTGACCATAACTTCAATTTTCTTCTGTGTGCATGGTGAGACTTTCTAAAACATCGATGACTCAGTGTTCTTTCTCTCTTTCCACTCCTGTGATAATGGGTCACAGTCACAACCAAGCTATCTATTTAAAGAAGACATTATTTACTGCATAAAAGGTTACCTGAGAAGAAAACCTCATTTAAACTTCAATGAGTCTACATGAGTCGCTTTTTCTTTGGGGAGGTTCACATCTGCCAGCTTCCCAGTTCTTGCACAGGGGCCATTTGGTGGCTGATTCCTCTACTAGAAAGAGCCTTTCAACTAGGGATAGCTTTTTGATCTCCTTGCACCCAGCCAGCAGAACAGCTGAGTCCTGTGGCTTGGAAATATGCCATCGCACTGCAATTGCTCTCTGAAGTTTGCTGCGTGATTGCTTATCTATATAACAACCAGGCTCGCTTTTCTCAGGCACCCTATTAAGATAGAATGTGTTCACATCAGAAAGTTTATAAACCAATATGCTCATATCACCCCACAGAAGAGGCCAAAAGCAGCACTCTTAAGAATTATTGCATTTCTTAGGTCATGGTGCAATGTCTGCATCTATCATACATAGACAATTGCTCTTGCAACTTCAGTATTTAACAACTATTTGAAATATTTATTTAGTGTGTTTTAACTGATGCATGACTTTTTTTTGCATATAAACATCAAAAATAAATGTTAGATATTGCAACACCTTTCTGTTTAGGAAATGACAGTCATGTAACAACAAAATGTTGCCAAGTTATAAGAATTTGTATTGCTAAGGCTTATTAGATAAGCCAGTACTTTGGTGAATTAAGATTTTGAGCAGTGGATTGAATTTAAGCAGCAAAGTTCTTCATAAATCCTTTGATAATGATGGAGAGTTCATGCTCACGTCATTGGAAATATAAAACCCTGCTGCAGGAAAAAAAAACAGCTGTCTTTACCTCTTGCAGATTTAACCACTTATGTCAGTACTGTTGACATGGTTTCATTTGTTTGCTTGTTTGTTTGCTCTTTTTACTTACATTTTTGAGAAAATCCTTAATTCGAACATAATTTCACCCAGTTTTAGGGTTTAGTGTGTACGTTTTATTTGTACAGTGCTGTGCAATGCTTGCTTTCTTTTGCAAAATGATGTGACAGTCTCCCACAGTGAAGGCTCTCACAGCAGGACATATTTCTTTTTGTGTTTTTATTAATCTTATTATTCTGGAGGACTTCTCACTCTTGCAAGGTGAAGGTAAATTCAAAATTTCTGGACAGGAACAATTTTAAAGACAGTGTTAGAAAGAAAGCAAAACACTGTACATTCTACTGAAAATCATCTGAATGCTTTCACAAGAAATAAAATTTAAGTGTAAGTCATTAGTTGAAACTTTTATGTTAAAAATGAGCAGGCTTTCCATTGTGGGTGTTTTTTTTTGTTTTTTTTTTTTTTCTTAAAATAAATTTCTCTAAGTTAGATTTTGGATTTACCTAGTCATAGGTGATACAAAACACTCTCTACAGTATTCCTATTACTTTTTTTAATGCTAAAATATTGTTTTGGCTTTTCTGAGTTGGCTTTTTTTTTCAGCAATGGCAGTAAGTAAAAAAAAAAAAAAAAGTGATTAATGATTCTTTCCCATGCATTTAAACTTTTCTGTATTCTGTATTTAACAGGGAAAAAAATCAAGGATTCAGATCTGTGTTCTTGGCAGACTCATGGCAGAGCAGATGCCAAGAAATGACATTTTCTTTTCTTTAATCATCTTCAGTCCTGTCATTAAAACAAAAGACAGTCTGATGGCATTAGGATTTATTGCTATAAATGAATGTCAGGTTGTCATCTCCATCCATAGATGAAAATTATCACTTTCTCCAATGTTTTCTTTAAAATATATTGACAAGAGTCAATGAAAAAAATATCTCCAAATAACTATGAGGCAAAAGCAATCTTTTTATCTGACCGGACCCTCCCCAAGAGAAAAGGATTCCTTGTAGAAGGGGAAGGAGAGGAAAGAGAAGTTCCTATATGTAGCTCAGGTGTCTGAGTAGTGATGTTGACATTCTTTACTGACAAAACATTTGGCATTTCTAGTGTTCTTGCTTGTTTTCTAGCAAAATAAAATGAAATGAAATAAAATAAAACAATGTACCATAGTCAATTTTAAGATTGTAACATACTGTAACTTGCAGCATTCCAGCTCAAGTCCTTTTGTTTTAATTTCTCTTCCTTCCTTCCTTCCTTCCTTCCTTCCTTCCTTCCTTCCTTCCTTCCTTCCTTCCTTCCTTCCTTCCTTCCTTCCTTCCTTCCTTCCTTTTTTCCCCTTAAGTTATGCAAGAACTTATGTAAGATATGCAGAGATCATGGAGCTGAGGTTTTCTTAACAGTGAATAAAGATGGAACTTTGCTGTTTGAGTTACAGCCTCTGGAATTAGCCTTCTGTCCTAAATTATCCTGAAAGCCTTTATTCATGCAGAAATTACTGATTATTATTATTTTTTTTTAATTTGCCTTATAATGAAGGAGGGAGACAGACTGACTAGATTATCATAAGGCATTAAAAACAGCCTACCTAACATAATCATTTCTTATTGCATATTTATGATTTCTAATAACAAAAAGGACTCATTGAAATTTTCTTTATTTAAAGTCAGTATTTCTAGAAAGTTTCCTTCACTACAACTAGTAGCTGTATGTGCAGAATACCATGCTTACAAATGCCACACACACACACACACAAAAGAAAAAAGAAAAAAGGAAAAAAAGAAAAAAGGAAAAAGAAAAAGAAAGAAAAAGAAAAAAGAAAAAAGAAAAAAAAAGGCCAACACACTGCTGAATTTCCGAACGGTAAAGTGAAATAAATACCTCACCCATCAGCATACTTCTCCAGACTCCTGATTTTGTGTTTAAAAGGAAAGCACTGGCTGTGCTGCGTTCGTGCAGTAGCAAAGTTCTTAAACTTTTCTTGATCATTCAAAGAGCAAATGGAGATAATTGCCTGGTCTGTGGATCCTGCCTTGGGCAGGAATAGAATTTAGTTAGAGAAATATCATAAAGACTAAGTGCCTCCAACTCTAAATAGGACATTGCATTGTCAACCTCTAAGTCAAAATTTTGGGCATAATATGCCTTAGTTCTTCTTTAGTCTCACAGAGAGATCTGAGTGTTTGGGGTTTCTAGTGCTCCACTGCCTACAAAAATAAAATAATTGAGTTAAGTATGAATAAAAATCTTTTATTTTTAAGATCTAGGCTTTGACTCACTGACTTTTAGAAGATAATAGAAAATAGAATCTCATAGAATAGAATCTAAAATGGAATAGACAATACATATTTTTTCATTTCTATGTATGAATTAAATTTAAAATAGTAATCCATGGCTTCTTTCAATACATTTGGTTTGTAAAAAAGGAGAGTTTAATAAATAGCAGTTGGCAAAGCTAAAGGCACACAAGTTGCCATCAGAATGAAAGATCCTCAGCTCTGCATGTCATTGAAATGAATATCTCAAAGTACTTTGCTGAGAGGTACTCCAGATTCTCTGGCCTGTGATAATGTCCTCTTCCTTACAAACTTCTATCATCCCTCTAGGAGTAGGACTTAGAAGTGCATTATTCTCCCCTTTTGCTGGTTTCTTTGTGAAGGGTTATTACAGTAAGCACAATTGATTAAAAAAGTGTGCTCTTGCAGCTCTGAAAGCAAATGGTATCCTGGGCTCCATCAGAAGAAGGGTGGCCAGCAGGGACAGGGAGGTGATTGTCCCTCTCTGCTCTTGTGAGCCCCCATCTGGAGTACTCTATCAAGGTCTGGAGCCCCCAGTACAAGAAAGACAGGGAGCTGTTAGAGAGGGTCCAGAGGACAACCACGAAGATGATCAGGGGACTGGAGCACCTCCCCTACAAAGACAGGCTGAGGGAGCTGGGCTTGTTCAGACTGGAGAAAAGAAGGCTGCAGGGTGACCGCATTGCAGCCTTTCAGTACCTAAAAGGAACCTACAAAGAAGAGGGGAGTCACTCTTTGAAATGGTAAATAACAGCAGGACAAGGGGAAATGGTTTTGACGGAGGAAGGATTTAGGTTGGATGTCAGGGGAAAGTTCTTTACAGAGAGAGTGGTAAGGTTGTGGATGCCCCGTCCCTGGAAGTGTTCAAGGCCAGGTTGGATGGGGCCCTGGGCAGCCTGGTCTAGTATTAAATGTGGAAGTTGGTGGCCCTGTATGTATCAGGGGGGTTGGAGCTTGATGATCCTTGAGGTCCCAACCCTGGCCATTCTGTGATTCTGTGATTCTGTGAAAAGGTTTGCCTACTTTAATAAAACCAAGTACTTCTGTTAATTTCAATAAATTGGCAACTAGCTCCAAATTGCATAATCTATACCTACCTAATAATGTGATAAAGTTTACCCTAAACTGCTAATTGTGAACTGTGGAACAGCTCTTCATACATTCAAGTAAGGCTATTGTTGAGGTGGAATGTTTTTTTCTATATGCAACTGAATAGCTGTTAGGCATTGGCCATACTTGAGCTTATTTATAAAACATACTAAGTTTAATGTCTGTTGTACATTTTTTGGAAAACCACATAAATTTAAGGGAACTATTTATTGAAAAAAAATACTTTATAAATTAATAATTGACACTTTATAAACTAAAAAAAATTATCACTGTATGCATCTGCATCTCTGTGCACGTGTATGTACCTGAAGTTTGGCAGCTGCTAATAGACATAGTATTCAATGCTGTTTCAAGGTTTTATTGACATCCTATAAGCCTGAGTACTATAAACGGTTTCTGCTAGACAAATGCAATACTGAGGAGATAATAAAAGAACAGAATTTTGGAATTTCTGTGTAAGATAATTCTGACAGTGGGTAAATCTTGGTCATTTACTTTGACTTCCTCAGAAGACGTTTTTTTATACAATGAAATTTTCATGTTTTTCTGTTCTTATGACTAACTCATTTTAAGCACTAAATTTGACTGTAAAGCTACTATTTTTTAAATAAACATTACTTTAAGTATTTGAAAAAATGCCTGCTGTGAAAAAGAATTCATTAGCTTGAATATGATGACAAATTTTAAGAAAGCCAGTCTATTAAACTTCCTAGCTATTTGGAGAATCCATTTATTCTTTAGTTTGTTGCATGTCTTCATTTTGAAACTATAATTGAGGAAAATATAAAAGTTATTTTTTAATTCAGAAAGACTTTGAACGTGATTTGCTACTGAACAAAGTAAAATGTTCTCTTTTCTCCCTAATCCACTAGACAGCAAAAGCAACAAAGTTGAAAATATGATGTCAGAGACACAGTGCATGGATCCTTGATGGCCACAATATTTTTTTCAGTCCATTTGAGATTTTGTCAGAAGATTCAATTTTTATTATTTGAAAAACATCCTTAATGAGGCAGCAGAAATTATGTCCCATAATCGCCATTTTTGAGGGCTCAATTAATTTCTATCTTTTAAACCTGCCATTCAAGGGTGAACATTCCCAGAAATTGCATGGCTTGATAACATTCACGCTCATAATCATGAAATAAATATTAGCTCACCAGCAAATGGCTTAATATAGTTATTATATGAACCACAGAGAGAGCTGACATACTTTGAAAATAAGAAATCCTCAGATAGCAAATCAAAAGAGTGAAGAAATGTACAGTAATAAATAGAGGGTGAGCATATATAGCAGTAATTGTATGCATACAAACACAAGTAACTACATATCTGCTGTGAGAAAATTGTGAAAAGTTCCTCAGGCTTTTTTGTACATCCAATTACTTAAAAAAGATTAAATGGATGTTACAAGTATGTCTTTTTTCACTGTGTTATTTTTGGCATGTAGTTCTAAAATTCAAAATCACAATTATATTGCTTTGCTACAAATTTCCAAAATTTACACAATATTTCAGATTTTTAACAGATTTGTTCTTCTGGCAATATATTTGCAGCTCATTTCCTGCAAGCCCAGTTTACTTCCTCAGGAATATAATGTAATTGCAATCAAATGCCAAACAGTTCAAACCATAATTAGATGCTGAAATAAGTTTTTGAGGTAGTATCTTTACTGGAAAGCTTATGATAATTGCTCAAAATCTTGAATGTTAAGAGTTGTTTTGTACCCTGATTTAATCTAATTAGCAAAGTGAAAACTAACCCTAAAAATTTATTCTCATAATATGGCAATTTACACAATTCATGGGGAGATTTTAAAATATGATGGGTTGATGTTTATGCCAATAGACTAAAGAGTATCTGAGAGAAAGCCAAAACATGGAAACCAATCTTGTATTTCATCTGAGAAACGAAAAGTGCTTTAAGTATAATAAAGCTGAGTGTTATTTTCTGTATCTGAGAGCTGGAAAAGCTACAGTGTACTACCCCCAGAACTATACTATTTAAATCTGACTATTGAGGTCAGTTGTCAGAAAGTCCATTTATCACTTTTCATAGATATATTTTAACTATATTTTAATATTATATTTATTGAACATAAAAGCCAGTTGGCTAATAGTGAAATACATTTCTATGTAGTATTTCTATGATATCCTTATACTCTTTCCATTTCCTCCACCTGAAAAGTATCTTTCCTATTTACCTGTGAGAGAATATCTCCTGCTTATGGCTTACAGAAGAGTAATGTGAGAAAATAATGACAATTAGTACTGTTGCTCACTCATTTGACGGCTGGCATTGTTGAGATATTGCCTTGTAGGAACTGACAGAAATGCTCGGAAGACCCTCAGAAGCTTTATATGCAAAGTATAAAGTAAACTTATAACACTCCTTTGGCATTAGCACTGATTTGGGAATAAGATTCTTGATTAAAATACTGGAATCAATGCAGCTATCCTCTCAACCACAAAAAATCAGCCTGTTTCCATTTCTTTGTTAATGAATAGAAAACTGAAGAAAATAAGGACATATCATTGGAGAGAAGACAACTTTTTGAGCTAAGACTGAGAACACAAATACTAATTGCCATGACAATGACAGTTATGCTACAAATACACCCAAAAAAGCATTAAAAATTAGAGAACAGTATCTTCAGCAAGCTGCAGTCATTCAATGCTGCTCTGCAAGCTGGCATCGAAAAAGTGACTTCTTTTTCCCTAAAAAGCAAAGGTAGACATGTATACAGGATACTCACAAAAGCCAGCTTTCTTTCACATTATATCTATTGTGTGTGATTTTTTACTTACATTGTTGTTACTTGATTTTGCTTTTTCTGTCAAAATTGCAGACTGAAGACACTGAAGTGCATGGAAGGAATAACATCCATGACATAACAACACTGCCCACTCTTCTGGTGCTGCTCCTGGTGCTTGTAAGGAGAGAGGCTGGGCCTTCCCAGCAATCAAGTGAAACACATTTGACAGTGTCATCAGTGCTACTACCTCTGAATTTATGTAAAAAATTTACCTTGGCATTTTAGATTATATTTCTCTAAAATAATTGTCACACAGATATATGGCCATTACATGGCAAAAGTAATGAAGTACAGCTATTGCAAATGAGATGAATGTGGCTCCATGATTCTCTGTCGAGACACTACATACCAGATTCAGACTCTCTTGATGCAAAATGAAGTGTCTGCTGTAGCTCTGTCTGAGAGCTGCATCTGACCTAAGCATTGGCATGATTTATTTATGGATCACTTGGTTGAGATGAATAACATCATTCATTTTTATGATTTCTTTTACATAAATGGGCTTGAAGAAAATGTCTTTCAATAAACCTGCTAGGGCTATTAGGAAACAATACCACATGAACTAAAAACCTCAGTTCTTGTCTTGTTGCAGACATTAGTTTTATGTGTAACAGCAGGGAATCACTTCAGCCTGGCTACTTTGGCATAGCCTCCCTGTCTGGCTTTGTAAATCTTTTCCTAAATGGTGCAGATGCACAACTGGGGTTGGAGAGCTGCATCTGATGAACCAGGCACTTGCTACATGGTTAAATTTTCCTCTGGACTAAGGAAAAGGGGAAATGAAACGTTTTTAGACTGAGCAGGTCCCTGAGTAGAAATCTCCTGCTACCTTTCCTCTGCCTCAGTGCCAACCCTGCGTTAAGAGTCCATGCGACATGAATAAAAAGGCCTCAGCATGGCAGACATCCTATGAACTGCACCAAGTCTGAACTCAAACACTAGACCTAAAATCCATATGAACACTAGGAGACCTTAAAACCAACGGGAAAAAAAATAATTAAAAAAAACTTATGTAATTATAAAAGTGATAAAGTCTACTGGAATAATGGATGCATGATGGCAAACAAAGAAATGTGGCAAAGTTAGAAGAAAAATTGGTGAAATTAATATTGCTTTATAATTAAATGCTCAGGTTTATCAGAGTAACCCTTGGGTTTTTAGTTCGCTTGTCCTTTCCTTGTCCTTCAGACACTGCAGTTCTTTCATAATGTAAATATATCAATTGGTTATTCTTTTGCAATTTTGTGTGGCTCTTTCTCCTCCAGTACTTTATAATTTTCTCACTGAATACTTGGTCTACCTCCCTTTCAAGTCTCTAATATTTTCTAATACTAATTAGAAAACCACTAAAATATCACTTTGCATGGTCCCAGTGGTTGTAGTGGTTTGCTGCTGAACACAATGCTGCCACTCTGACATGATTTTCTATCTTGGTGGAGATGCAAATTTCCAGCAAACCAAAACAAACTGTCAGAGTTGCAAACAAACTGACAATGCGTAAAGAATCTCTACTTTCAAAAAACATAAATTCTTTAATTTGCTCCCAAGAACTCTTGAAGACATTGCAGTAAGGGTACATTTTTCTTCCTCAAGTAAATTACTGGGTTTATATTGTTATTTATTTATTAAAAAAAAAAAAAAAAAAAAAAAAAAAAAAGAGTGATAACCAGATAACCAGCAGAACAGGACCAAGGATGTAAGGAAGGTAGAGCTCTGGAAGCTCAGTGCTCATCCAAGTGATAAAGTTATCTTTTATTTGGACTTATTCCATAGATATATCATAGAATATAGCTCCCTTGTGAGAAATCAGGAAATCTATATTTTTTTTTTCTTAAATTTCAGCTTCTCACTTTTTCTTTTATAATTTAGGTATGAAATTTAATATACACTGACTTTCTGGTGTCTTTTAGTCATGTGTATTGTTCTAGAAGGCAAAAAGTACTGACTTAAAAGATTTATGTCAAACAGTTCCACAGTTTTAAGTACCTCTTCTTCTGGCACATGTTGAAATCATCCAGAGAAAAATGTGTCTGGACATTTTGATTAAAAATCTTATACCAGTGAGTTTAGCAATATCCTTTTAATTGAATATTTAGCTGAGATATGCTTGTAAAGGAGCTGAGATGGGAGAACAAAGAAAACATAATCAAGTTCTGTCAACTGCAGACTGGAGAGGGACCTTAGTCCCTGTCCAAAGATCCATTTTTTCTAAACACGTTATTCAGTATTCAGTGTCATTCAGTTTTTGCCCTCTGCCTTGTTTTCTTTAAAGTGAAAACAACACACTCCTTTTAACTAACACTTCTGGTAGCATCAGCAATACAGCAGATAAAGTCTCATTTACCCACAAGCTTCAATTTCTTAAGAGAACTGCAAAAGATTATGTATTTAGACGGGCCTTTTCTGGAAGGAAAATAATAATAACTTTTACACCTTCATTTCTATTACTTATATAAATTGTGGTATTTACTATTCTTTGGGAATTACACTGAAGTCATTCTGCAATATCTGGGACTTACCTTTGGTATTATCTGTATTTGCGTTAGTAATTATTGTGATGAATTGTGACTTTTGTAAGCTGGGTGAGCACAGTCAGATGCAGCCATAAACAACAAAAAATCATGTGAGGTGTTTCAACTCCAAACTGGCTTATATTTTACAGGAAATGCATTCATTCACTCACTGATCCCTAAGACAAGATAGAGGCATATGTAAGCATTCTGTGACACTGAGCACATCTTGTAGCCGTAGGCAATGATCACGTACATATTACTACTAAAAACCAGGCATACAGAAGCATTAGAAATGAATCTAACATATTTTTCACAAAAGCAGAAACATCAATTCTCTGTGAAAGTAACATGAAACACTAATTAAAAATCATTAGAAGAGTTGAGATTTTATAATGCTAAAACCTACAGAACAAAGTACTTCAGAAACTAACATGTAATATGCTACAATATAATGGCTTGTCTCCTTCCTATAATAGGATTAATTGCTTGATTAAGAAATTATGTTGTATTAGTCTTTCCAGCCTTTTATAATCATAGAATCACATAATGTTTGGATTGTAAGGGAACTTAAAGACCAACTAGTTCCAAACCCTGCCATGGATGAGGCACCCAGCAGCTCAGCTTGCCCCATCAAACCTGGTCTTGAATGCTTCCAAGGCTGCGGCACCCACAGCTTCTCTGGACAGCCTGTGCCAGGACCTCATCATCTTCTGAATAAGAATTTCTTCCTGATATCTAATCTAAATCTCCTCTCTTTCAGTTTAAAACCATTATCCCTTGTCCTATTACTATACTCTCTGATAAGGAGTCTCCCCTATCTTTCCTATAGTCCCCCTTTAAGTACTAGAAGGCCTTATGAGTTCTTCCTGAAGTCTCTTCTCCAGGATGTTACAAATCTAACTCCCTCAACCTGTCTTAGCAGGAGAAATCCTCCAGTCCTCTGATCATTCTTAGCCTCCTCCAGACTCACTCCAACACGACCATATCCTTCTTATGCTGTACATTCCAGAACTGAACACAGTGCTCTAGGTAGAGTCCTTATAAGAAGGAGAAACAGAAGGGGATTATTCCCTCCCTTGCCCTGCTGGTCATGCTTCCTTTGATGTAACCTAGGATGCCATTGGCTTTCTAAGCTGCAAGCACATTTTGGCAGCTCATATTGAGTATCTCATCAACTGACAACCACAAATCATTATCCTCTGGGGTGTTCTCATTCCATTCTCTGACCAGCTTGTGTTTGTGTTTGAAATTGCTCTGAGCCAGGAGCAGGACCGTGTCTTTGGCTTTGTTGAAACTCCTGAGGTTCACATGAGCCCTCCTCTCAAACCTACTATCATCCTCTGCATCTAATAAAAGTGATGTTTCATAAGATTTGATTCAACCGGGACCAGTCCAAGAATTGAAAAAAAATATTTTTTTCTTTCTCTACAATTTTTGTCATTTGGCTCACTGTGGGCAAAATACAACATTCAAGAATATGTTTTCACTCCACAGTAGCCAAACTATGAATAATTTTACTTCCTCCTGAATTGTTTTAGAATATAATTAGAAATTTATCTCTCCTGAAATCCTTTTGCAGGGCAAATTATTATTAGTGTTCTGACTTGAACTCAGAATTTATTCTTTTTAAAGATATTATTAAGATTAGTTCTCAAACCCAACAATTTCTTCCTATAAAAGTTATAGATTCTCTATGTATTGTTCTTTCATACTACATGTTTCTGGTAAAGTCTGTTCAACAATACTTCCTGAAATCTTTGGAAGCAAACACAAACAACCAAATACAGTTTTGCAATTAACCTATGCTGAAGTTAGTGCCCATGTCACTGTTTTGATTTAGAATAATAAAGCAGTACTGAATTGAATTTCTCGGGCTGCTGGACTCGGTGAAGTTTTTTAATGACTAAAAGTATCAAATATTCCCGAGTCTCCTCAGGGACTTGAGTTCTCTCTCAAGCAAGAGTGTCTCGATGATTTTGGAGAAAAAGACAGGGTAAATGTTTCTAAGACTCTTACCTTTCTAGGTAAGAGTGGAGGTTGTAGAACATACTGAAAATATAAAGCATGAGCATTTTCAAGAGTACTTTGAATATGTTCCATTTGGTGAATAATTTTTAAACCCTTGTAACAAATGGGTTTCAAAATGTAATATTGTCCTTTGCTAATTACAACTTGAAGACATTTGGCTGTGTTCCCTCCAGATTAGGTTTTTGGCTATCATTTCTTACTGAGAAAGAGATTTAAAGTTGCTTGCTGGTTTTCCTGTAATATTTAAAGGCCCAATTGAACAATACCTTCCCTTCTCATGTTGTCTTTGTTTTCTTTTTCTATTAAGTGAATATTGTTGTGGGGTTTCTGTTTTTTCCGGTGTGTTTTTATTTTTATTTTTGTTTATTTATTTATTTTTTTTCAGAAGCAAGAGAAAAACGTTAATCTGTTTTAATCTGTTATATTAAAACACATTCTGGGGAAAAATTTGTAAATTATCTTCATGTAATATTTTCCTAATGATAGTTCTGTCAATATGGATAATAAAAAAAAAAAAAACAACACAGAAACAAAGCCAGTGAAAGTAATGAGTTTTCCCACCTCCTTTTCCATCTTTTTCTTTGTCAACATTTCACTATCAGCATGTGAATCCAAGAACTCACTGGTTAGGAGAGGCAATGAATTTTTTTTTTCCTTTTTTCATCTGTTTGGTCTTTAATAGAAAGTAGCTTTTCTCCAGAGTCTTTAAGACTTAATCTGCAGGATTCATTCTCTGTTATTAGCTTTGCTTAAAAATAGTGCTGCTAGAAGAGTGTAAGTTTTAATTCCTTCTAGCATTTTGGTGATTACTTTTCCAAGATTACTTCTAACAAGAAAACTTCCCTAAAACAGGCTATAGTATATTCCAGATCATCAAAGACAAAAACCATAATATGTAATTCACTATTTTTACTGATAATATTTGCCCTCAAATAGATTGTGAGTTTTAACAGTTTGTTTGATACTAAAAATTTGTTAAAATATGAATGGCCTAGTGAGAATGAATGAGATCTTAGTTTATCACTGTTTCATAAGCAACATGACTAAAATACTGTAGTGAGATTGAGGTAGTCATTATCAATACTCAAGCTGCACAGATGGTTAGCTAAATCTCATGGCACTGCTTGCAGTATCCAGTCAAAAATTTAATCATATAAAACTGCTTGCAGCCAAACTGAATTTGATACTAAAAAAGAGAGTTTTCTTCTTCATGATTAAATGGAGTTGACATGGGCCAAATATTCACTTACCATTACCAAGTATATGTACAAAATTTCTGTTATTTAAAAACAGTGACTGAATTTTGGAAAATGCAGTATTGAAACACAGTCCAAAGCAAAAGGCTTCAGGCCTGAATATATAATCAAAGAAACATTATCCTCTTCCAGAGGAATTCTTTCTGGACTTATTTGGGCTGGGTATCTGCTTTGTTTTCCTTACTTCTATGTACTTACTGTAGAACATTTTTGTTTGTTTCCAAAATATGAATGTTTCAGTGTAAGTCAAGTGTAAGATAATATCATTAATATATCTTCTAGCTTTCACAGGGTCAAGCATTCACAAAATAGCAAGCCAGTGAATCAAATTCAGGTAATCAATTCGCTGTTTGGCCACAGCAACAAGTTTTGTCTACTATTTGGTGGGTTGCTTTGTTTTGTTTTGTTTTGTTTTGTTTTGTTTTGTTTTGCTCGTTTGCTGTGTATTACTAGCATTTCTATACTTAAATTATCATACATTTTTGTGAAAGACATTAAGGAAAATTTAGCTGCTTGAATAGACACAAAATCTTATAGTTCTGGAATTACAAACATGAATGTTTCTAAGACATATTTTATATCATAATTTTTCTAATATCTGCAGTACCACATATTCTGTATGGTTTTGTCCAGTTAAATTTCTCAGTTTGTAAAAGGAAAAACTTCTGCTTCCTCTCAAGAGAAATAAAGCAGATCCAATTTCAAGAAGAGCTGGCCCTTATTTTTTCCATAAGGTTTTGAATTTATCAACCAATTGCTTTTTCTGCTTGTATTTCCCTTCATCTTTTGAAACAAATATCAAACTCATGAACAAAAAATCCTACAGAATGGAAAAGAATTTCCTCCTCTCCCTA